AGTTTGGGAAGGAACCAAAAGGGAGGCGAGCGAGGGGAGGAGAACGGGAGAAAAACCAGCTGCCGCCACTACCAGTTCCACCCCTCTACATGAAGTCATCTACTCCTCCCTCCCCGCGGCTCCCAATACCACCCCCTTCACTCCACTCTGCAGAATTTTTTCCCTCCCTCCCCTCTCGTTCTCAGTTCTACACATTCTGCCTCCCTCTGTATCCCAGGAGGCCGTCAGGGCAGGCTGTGTTTACTGCTGAGGTAATTGGAGTAGTTTGGAGAGAGCCTGACCCCAGCCCTGCTAAGGCCTAAGATATGTGTGTGCGGCTGTGTGTACACACATGTGCGCATACGCCTGTTTGTGATGACTGGCAGTGAGGCCAGAGAAGGAAAGGAGGCCTTAGCTAGTGTCAGCCCACTGGGGAACAGACAAATTGGTTTTCACTACACTGTCTGTCTTTTCTTGTCTCATATTCTCCAGCTATCCCTTTCTTCTTCCTGCATATCTCTCCATCTCTCCACCAACTCAGAGACAATCATTCACGCTTTCTCTTGTACTTGCTCTGCAGCGCTTTTTCTCCTCCTGGTACTCTTTTGTTCCACCTCTCTTTCTATCTCTCTCTTTCTCTGCTCATCATTTCATCTCTCCGAGCTGAGCTGTTAGCCGAGCCGAGCTGCATAGACGGTGACTCTTGCCAGATATGAGCAAAAACTCCCCCTCAGTTGCAGCCATAGACATGAGCAAATTCATCCAACCTAATCCAGGCGCCTGTTGTGTTTATCTGTGGGTGAGATGGATGGGAGAGGGCCTGGAGTCGGGGAGAGTGAGGGTGCAGCCCTACAAACACTCTCCGACGTTCACTCAACTGTTGCTTATTGCCGTCCACATGCACAAACAGTTTAAAGGCACTGAACAAGAGCTATGTTGCCTGAAACAATCGGCATTAGCTACAGTTTGTTTATCGTCAACATACGAACACAAGCTTTGATCAGGAGAGAGGCACAAAGGAGTGCAGCATGACAGTGATTTAGCATGCATCCAGTGACCTCATCGCAGGGTTGTCAGGTAGTGGCAGTGGGACACGGCTCACCTACTTTAGCTCATCGCACTCCCGTCTCCCTTCTCCTCCCTCCTGCTCCCCTTCCCTCCTTCCCTCATCCCTCTGTCTTGCTCCTCCCTGATAGCTTTTACCGCTCTGCTGATTTCACAAATAGGCCTCATTGATTGAATCTGATTCTTGTGGATAGAGCAGCTTTATTGAGTGGCTTTTTCGCTGATGGACAGGAGCGTGCGGGTGTGTGTGTTTGTTAGGCACATGCATGTGTGCATGTTAGGGATGATAAAGGAAAACTTCCTTTCCTCATCCCTCTCATTGTATAATCCAGCAGCTACTCCTCTCCCGGGAATTCCATCAGCCAGATCATTACAGAGAAACACAACCACACACACATGCAGCATGCTTACACGCGGCCCTGGTGATGGCTGCATCTGAGTGAATGTTTTATTATAGGTGGTGCATGCTGACTGAGGAGTCTGTTAATTGTGGCGACACCTTGAGCTAGGCAACATTAAAGTGTTAACTGCTCTCCGCGGTGCTGTTCATCAAACATTCATCTAAGCTGTGCTTCTGCGGCAGGAAGCGGGCCCAATCTACCCAGGGCTACACGATTCAAGTCGGTCCAACTCCACTCCAGCAGTGTCACCAGCATTATCTTTTGGTTTTTCCTGATATCACAGCCCCTGTCTGCAGCCATTTTGGATTGTTGTGTTGCTCAAACCAGGCCGCTAGCACTGCCAACACTTCCTGAACATCTGCAGAGGAACAAAAACAGAAAAGTAGGGAAACGTTGCAACGGGGAATTTGTATTTTGATGGTGGGAAATTAGCTCGTTTCACATGTAAAGCAGGAACAATCTGTCAGGGTTTGGGGGGGCTTTAGCTTACAAACTGTGCGAGTGAGAAGATGGAGCTATATCAGCCGCGCTCCACTGGGGATACACACATTTCACACACAGTAGCGCACACTTCATCCTAGCTGCAGCAGCATCTGTGCTCTTCCCCTCTCGCTGCCCTCTATTTTTGCGACTCTCTCCTCTCAACAGGCAGTGTGCCACCTATGCAGAGTTGGATGGATGGTGGCACCCTCTTGCCCCGCGCCCATTTAACCCCCACAACCCCGCAGATCCATCATCATACAACACACAAACACAAGCAGCACTAGCACTCATATTCCAGTATGCGGTTTGCCTGAGCTGCTGCCTGCTGCCGAGCCACCTCCATTGCACTCCTTCTCACACAGTCTGTTTTGAGAGGCCAAGACATCTCTGAGTTTTAAAGTAAAGTATTTAAATGTAGCCACAACGACACCAGTTTGGGATACATCTAGCTCATGAGGCCGACCTCTGTTTGATATGAGAGGGAGACAGGGAGACGGCAGGCCTTTGTGAGAGCCAACGCTAGCTAGGGAAGCATAGTTCCAGCAGAGTGGATAGTGTTTATACATCTCACCATACAGTGACAATAAAAGGCAAAGGCAGATGTTTGATTTATTGTTGCCACAACCGTGTTAAGCTTTGAAAGTGCAACACATTCAGCCCCCTCCGTAATTTGCATCTGGTGAAGTTATGTTCTTATTTTGTCAAGTCTTTTTCTCTTCCCTTCCCTCATTTCTCACTTTGTCTAGCAAGTCAGCTTGGCCCACTTCCAAAGAACCACTGACTGAGTTTTTGGGAGACACACACACATACACACAAAGACGGCAGGAAAAAAACAGCTGTTTAGATTCGTGGGCGTCGTTAGCAAAGTGTAGCAGACTTGTTTTTTTTGCTCTTTTTTTTTTTTTTTTTCCATTGTACAAGGTTGTAGGGGTTGAGATCTGATTTAATTAGTGATGTAAATAACTAAAGAGGAACACAGTGAAAAGGAAGTCACAGAAATTGGGAAAAAATTGGATTCAATAATGTTTACTTTGCTCTTTTAGGTGTGATCGGCAGCTATGTCAAGGCCTGTTAATTCATGTGTATAAGTGTTTACATAGAGATTCCAGCATCTCATTAGTTGTGATTTTGGCTCTCCATCGAGCGGGGTTCACTTGCCAATATTAGCCACGCTAGCCATTGACCTGGGCCGTGCTCACTTAGCCTGGTGTGGTTATCATTGTTGACATTGCATGTCAAGTGGCCCTCTCTTCACCTCCAAGGCTGCAAATGAGGGAGCAAAATAGAGCTTGGCAACTGTTTCAGTGCAACATGATTGTGCTAATGTTTTTAGAAAATAATGTGTTGCATAATTCACAATTTTCATAACTGCTCCATGTGTTAATTTGGATAACTGTAGTTTAGGGTTTGATAGGAAATACCAGGGTTTTTACATTAACATATTATTTTGAACTGAATGAATAATGATTTAAAAATTAGATTGTGACCCATTTGTGTCATCTTTTTGATATGTGGCCACATTAAAATTGAGCTATTCCTCAGCCCTCTGATGCATACCCTTGAATTTTGATAACCAGGAATATTTGAATCGCATAAGTTGCATCACCAGTGTTTGCATTACTTCCCTTTTGTCTGTCTTTGCAGAGAAAAGAGGTTGTAGCTCAGAAAAAAATGGGTGTCATTTCTGTGCTTTAAGTCTTCCCCATTAAAAGAAAAGAGGAGCAGAGCACAGTGGAGGTAGCGAGGGAGAGACAGCAGAGGAGAGAATTTCCTTGCTTCATTAATTGGCAGCTCTGTGGTACACTAAACATTGCACAAGCACACACACATACAGCTGAATACTGTGACTGCTCTGAAGCCACTGCCTTATATTTAGTCAAGGGAGACCAGCCTCTGTCACTTTTTCTCTTGCTTAACCTCGCTCTTTCTCTTCCTCTCTCTGTGGCCGTGTTGAAGAGGAGTCTCATGGGAGGGCTTAACTCTGAGCCCTCATTCTTTTTTCCTTTCTTTTCCTTATCATCCTCTGAATAAAGCGGCACACTGTTGTTAAACTTGGTCCAGGAGACACACTCTGTGCAGAGATAGAATAGAGAGACGGAGGAGGTTCAGTATCTGCCTTCCTGCTTTTATTACCGCCACCACTAACAGGGTGGTCTGCTCTGCTCAGTGTGTACACGGTGCGTTTACATGCAGCTGTGTGTGTGTGCGTGAGCCGCCTTTCTTTGTATTTGTGTGTTGAAATGATGAACAAGCGTCAGAATTCTACCTCTTAGCTGCAAAAAGCATGAAATCAATAGTTCACTTAAGGTGGAACTGAGGTCAGCGAGGCTTCACATGCCTGTCTTTGCACCTCTCAGTCTGGAGAGTAATTCACATAAGGCCCTGCTTAAATTATGATGTACAACCTGGAAAATCGCTGGGGCTTCTGTGTTGTCATGGTTATTGAGTGTTCGGTAGCTTCAGGGGAAATGGAGTTTGGGGGTGGAGGTGGAGGAGGGTGCAGAAAGGAAAGGGGGAGGAATGGATGGGTGCGAGTGGGAGGAGGGGTGCTATCTTAATTGCTTTCCGTGAATAATTTCAGTCCCCTAATTTGGCGATAATGACAGTGGCTGCGGCTTTTGTATTTATTTATCCAAACATTAATTGACAGGACTGACATTAGCCAGGGCGGTTATTGCGCATTTGATTGCGCACAAGGGAGCAAAGAAAATTACAGTAATTATCATTCTGATATGGATTATGAATATGCATTCCCACACTTAATGTGTCTGTCAGCATTTTAGTAACAACAAGGCACTCTGCCATGACAACAGCACTTTAGCTTATCTCCATCTCTGTTTCCCGAAACCCAATCCAACCGGTGCTTGTGGAGAACAGATGACATGTATTGTCGAAATGATTTAGCTGCCCCACTGTAGCTTTTTAACAACACCCGGGCATGTAGTTTGGTGAAATGGTCGTCATGTGGATTGTTTCAATTGGCCTATAAAGGGGCCTCAGCTTGTGGAATTAATTGGAATTAGTGTGTGGTGTGTTGTTGTGAACGGACATTAAAGTTTGTGTTTCTCACAGGCGGAGGGAGAAGACAATTTGAAGAAGATGCAGCTGATGGAGCTCGCGATTCTCAATGGGACATACAGAGACAACAACATCAAAACACGTAAGTGAGCTTCCACGGACACACACAGTTTACACAATGGATCTGTTTTGCACCATAAACAACTAATCTTTTCACTGCATTGAGCATACTTAATTATATATTACATTTTTTGGTATTTCCTCATTAACTAATACTGTTTACTCTCATTAAATGAATGTGTAGTCAGACCTCCTGTGTACATACCATCATATTATCTCTGACCACTAGCAGACATCTCTCTCTCAAGCTCTCCAAACAATCCATGTTTACCTACTATGAGTAGGACTTCCATTCTGTTCCACTTCGTATTCCTTTCCTCTCCATCCACTCCTCCATCCGTCCCCCCCCCCCCCCCCCCCCCCCCCCCCCCCCCCCCCCCCCCCCCCCCCCCCCCCCCCCCCCCCCCCCTGCAAACCAGATGCCATCGCTCTGTATCACTTGCTCTTGGCGGACTCTAAACCTCCAGCACATTGCTGTATTCCACCTGCTCAGCCCTGCATGTTAGTCACTAGCTCACACATCTACAGTGTTTGCCTGTTAATCACCAAATGCCATTTCTAAGCGCATAATCAAATCTGTGATTTGGATATAATAACTTAAATAAAGCCAAAACATTTTCATTACAGAGCATATTAGTCCAGAACTTGTGCATTTACTCTCTGGACCCTTGGTTATTTTCATAATTATCATTTAAAGTCTAATTTGAACAGCTGGGTTCTTCTATAAACTTGGGTTCAAATTTATGACATGAAACTAAAAGTGCTTAATTTCACTATTTCATTTTTCAAATTTAACATCTGCTCCAATGTTTGCCACAACAAACTGGCTCACCATCTAACCGTAGTCACCAAGCGCTGAACTTAATTGACCTGCTTTTCGGGGAAGCTTGTGCGGCACGGCTTGCAGCACGTGCTGATGCAGAACCACTTGGAAAATGATTTTTGTGTGTTCATTTGTATCCAACCTAAATGGACTGCTGACTGTGTGGGGATTAACATTTTTAAGTTGCTAACAACTTAAATATTTTAAGTTTCTCTTTGTGCTCTGTGATCCACATATTCAAGATGATATTCCTCAACAGGCTTTAGTAAAACCTGCTCCCCATCAAATGTCTCTCCTCTACGTAGAGTCAACAGCTCCATTTCTGTTGGCATGTGTGTGTTTACCTCACCTGTGCCATTTCTAGTAGATGAATGTATAGCTGCCGTGGTGATTTGTATGCTTTGAATGCACTGGGATGACAGCAGCATTTTGTGCTTCTTGTGTTTTGGTGTGAGGGTTTTTTTTTTTTTGTTTTGTTTTTGTGTGTGTGTGTGTGTGTTTTTTTGTTTGGCTATGTTGACTTCCTTTGCAACAGATTGTGGCTTTTGTGGTTCACCACCATGATCATTGCATGGACTAATTTTCCCTTTTGCCCCCCCTCCTCTCTCCTCTCTATCTGCCACCTCCCGTTCCCTCCTCTTTTTCCTCCTTTTGTATTTTCACCTTTCACTGTTCATCTGTGATTATGATCAACCACACTACACTTTTATCTCTTGTCCTCTATTCTTTCTACTCCTGTCCTTCACTCTCTTGCTTATGGCAGCCACCCTTGCATTCTCTCTTGCAGCAGCGGCAGCAGCCGCTCAGGGCCCACGTCTCATAGCGGCCCCAACTGGTCAGGTGTTGCCTCCCCAGGCACTCCGGCCCCCGACACCAGCCGGGGCCCCCATCATGAACCTCATCCGGCCCACTCAGATGGCTGCCATGCTGCCCAATGGCACTCCCACCCTGGTGCCTCCCACACCGGATGGCGGGCTTATCTACACCACCCCTTACGAGTACCCTTACGCCCTGGCACCCACCTCCCTGCTGGAGTACCCCATCGAGCACAGTGGGGTTCTAGGTAAGAGAGCCTGGGGAAGCATGGGTGCGGCAGGTACTCCCAGCTTTAGCCAGCCTGGACAGGAGGGCAGCTTGTTTTACCCCGGAGCTGGGGTGCTGGACGCAGCTTCCATGAGCCACAGTCAGGACTTGTTGAAAGGTAAATATGTCGTGTCCACCTGAGGATCAAAAACAGACAAACTCAAAGAGTGGATGTGCTGGTAATGGGATGACCAGCTTTGTGGCTCATATGGACACTGTATTAAAAAGGCAAAGGGGAACAGAAGTTACCTTGTGAGGGCTAGGCTCTTGGAAGGATCTCTTTGTAATTTAGACTAAGGTTACTTCACTGTTTCAGTCACGCTCTCACCAAACAATTATGCTCTCAGGTTTACATAGCCTCTGTTCTGCAAGGTTCATATAGGAGGACTTGCCTCGGTATGAAATGAGGCACACCGACAGAAACACATACACGCAGCCTGCTCTCTAACCCTTTCATGCACTGGCCTGGAGGCATATTCAGTCTGGCGGCAGATCCCCTCGGATTTCTGCAGCTTTTGAAATCATTTCTCTGTGCTGTTCTCTGCAGGCAGGCCTTGATGCCTGTAGATAGTCCCTCTCTCACTCCCACTGGGGATGTTCATTAAATTCCTCCAGTCTTCCCTTTTTTCTTCTCTTTCCCCTCTCTCCATTGTCTTAGCCTCACCCCTCTTGAACTGGAGCTCTGTGCTAATACCTGACGCTCCCCTTAGTTTCTGTGTCAGGAGTACAGTTCAATATGAGGGTCTATATACTATACTCACTCTCAGTGGTGCTTTAAGCTCAACACATCTGCTACCAAAGAGATAACTCAACGTCTATTGATGAAAAACAGTCGGATATGAGCACCATATGTTGCATCGAGGCTGTCGTCAACAAAAGCAAAGCTGTTTCCCATGTTAAGACAGGAGAGGCCTTTGTCAGTCACTTTCCAGCTTTAATTTGACACAGTACTCCTCTAATGTTGTCTGCGGCATCATCTGGCAGCGGCAGACACAAACGTGATTTCAGCTGACCTATGTATTTGACGTGCCTCTGGGAGTCATGTGTAGAACAGACAGGGGCAGCTGACTGGCTTTTCCCTCTTTAACTTGCAGGGTTACACCAGCTTAGTGCATTTTATTTACTCACACTATCGATTGGTGCCTTCAGCAACACAGGGCCCTGTGGAACACACTCACTCTCACACACACACACACACACACACACACTCATGCACTCGGTTCGGCTGCCTGCGCTACTGTATCTAGCCGCCATTGGCTTCTCTGAGAGTAAAGAAATGTCAGGCCATCTGCTTCTTCGGAGTAGTGTAGGTGGCTGCGTAGTCATCAGCCAAAACTTGCTCCTAACTTGACAATGCCAGAACAAAATCCTCGTTGTGTTTTATAACTTACTCCACATGTCCCCCTCTCCGTCTCGGAGGGCTCAATTTATTTTCTTAATTCCTGCGCGCGTCACGTGTTCGCAGCACTTGAACATACAGTTAGTGTCATGAGTGCCAGGCAGCGCCGAGCTCTGCAGCAGGAAGGAATCACTTGTGACAAATCTAAGAGGAAAATGACAGCGTCTGCTGCCGGTGAACAGATTGACCTGGAGAGAAGTGGTGAAAGAGGGAAAGAGAAAATGAAGGAGAGAGGGAGAGGCAGGTGGTGTCTGGCACTATTCAATTACCATCAGAGCTGTATTGGATTTCCCCTACCTTTCAAAATAAAGAGACAAATTTCTCTCAGTCCCCCTCTGGATCCCAGAGGAAGAATCACATTATTTTTTCCAGACAGCCCAGGAGCCTGTACCCTTTGCCTGCCCCCCTTTTCAAAGAGTCCTCTCGTATAACTCTGAGCACTGTGGAAATTTTATTACTTAAGTTATGCATTTTTAAATACCAAGTAAAGCTCCAAAAAGACATATATTATTTTTTTCTACTGCATTTTTCTACACGTTAAAAAAGAAAAGCTCTGTGTGATGTGTGTATATGTACTATAATCTGTATTATGTTGCTATTCTGTGTATTGTATTATTCAAGCATTATAATGATAACGGTTAAAATGTGAATGTTGTTACTGTAAAAGATGACTGTTTCTCCCCTGCTCAAAGTGAATGGTTTCTAACCTTGTGGACCTGTTACAATCTAGGTGCAATGGCTACTAAAGTGAGACGGCATGACACGCGGGTCCATCCTTACCAAAGGATTGTGACCGCTGACAGAGGTCAGTTTAGTCTCTTAGCTACACTCTGCTATTGACTGATGAATTTCAATGATTATTATGCCTATTATGCCTCGATGCCTTAGTTGGGAATTTGTATATCGTCTGTATTGTATTTTTTGTTTTCCTTTCCCCCTCACCACCTTTCCTACCCCATACATCCACACGCCAGCTAAATGGCCGTCGTGGTATGCACATTTTGTTTACATTTAGTACTTAACATATACAGTGTGTGTAGATGGTGTATATGTCAAAGCTCAGGCAAAAGTGATCTGAACAGCTTTTGGTTTATCGCAGCTGTGAAGCTAGGACAGGTAGTACTTTGCAGGCAGTGTTGAAGGTGTATAATGACATTCCTCTGATGTGAGATTAGAGCCTAAAATGGGGCAGGCTTGTTCCCATACATGATTTATCTCCTCGGCTCATAAGGAGCGAAAGAGAAAAAGGAAAAAAAAAAAAAAAAGGAGAAGCATTTCTATACTGTATGTGAGAGAGAGAGACCTGGTAGGCAGAAGACAAAGTAGCCAATGCTGCTACCACGCACCATTTCACCTTGAAAAAAATTTAAATTTATTTTGCATTTTATTTTTCTATGGAAGATAGACACGCACAGACATAAGCTGAGGTAGCTTGCATTCTCTCCAGTGTATCGCAAATAGATTGAAATGAAAAAAAGAAAAGCTAAAACACATTTTAAATATTTCAGTTGTACGTGAGGTACTGTCATTTTATATTTGAGCATTTTATATCAAATGTATTTATGGTTCTTGTGTATATTTATATTATATAAAAATATACTGCTAAATAAAGAGAAAGAATCGGAAAGCATCGATTCATCTATTCATTGCACATGTAACACTAGCCACAGTTATCCCTCACATAACACTAGCAAGTCTCCTTACCACTAATCACACTGTTTGTAACTTGCACTCCAACTTTGACAGACACTAAAACACTAGATTTTTGTTCTTATTTTGTTTGTCTGTTCGACCTCTCTTTGCTTCTTGATTTTTTTGGGGGGCAGTGTGCGCTTAAATTAAACCACCGAGCTACCTGAGTCTGGGGTGGGGGCTTAGTAGATGGGATCATGATGTGCCAGCGTCATGATTATAATGAGATTAGCTGGGTTCATCTCACATCGGCAAGGGACTTAGGTGGCGGGGGGGCGGGGGGGCGGGCGACATAAGAGATTGCATTCATTTTATTGTTAAAATGATGTCATTCCAGTCTCTTCTTGCTGACACTAATATCCTTTCTATCTTTTTTTTCTGTTTGTTTTGTTTTTGTTTCTAACCACCTAGCCGCCACCGGCAACTAACACATGACCTTCTGACCTCTGAACTCTTCACCCAATGACGAGCCGCCCCAAGCCTGCCTGCTGATCAGTTAACTGGTAATTGCCTTTTGCTAGCCTCTCGGACGCAAGTGAGAGAGAGAGAGAGAGAGAGAGAGAGAGAGAGAGAGGCACCTGCCCGTACAGTTACCCTAACACATTCTGACAAAAAAAAAAACAACAACAAAAAAAGAAACGCAGAATCTTCACAGAAACAAAAACCCAACAGAGTTGTGTAATATTCATTTTTTCCCTCTGTTCATTGAGTTCAATTCCCATTCTTTCTCTTTCTTTTTCTTCATGAATCATAAACTGGGTGGATGTGTCCGTGGTATTACTCATGAATCTGCACTGAATTATATAGCAATAAAGACCCCCACCCCAAACCTGCCCACCCACCCTCCTTTAATCGCTCTAATTTGGTGACCTCACATGTCTGACTCAAAGTTCAGCATCTATTTGACGCAAACCATTTGGTTTCAGAGTAATGACATCACCCTCCCCTCCTCCTCCCAAAAAAAAAAAAAACAACAAAAAAAAACCCTACCTGTCCCACCCTGTTCCGACACCCACCTATCGGGAGAGAAAAAGAAACAGAAGGAAAGAGAACATACGCTCACATTAACTTGTTTAATTTCTGTCATTTTTTCACATGTAGTGCAGTTGTTGAGCTCTAAGATGTAATTATGAGCTGACACATTCTGGGTGTGCCCCTCCAAACAGCTTTCTGTCTGTTTTTTAAACACACAAAAAAAGCATGGCTGAAAATGATTGCGGAAAAAAAGAGCTTTTTATGATTTATGTGTTTGTTTTTTTTTGTTTTTTGTTTTTTTTTCTTCTGTCTATTTTTTTTTTTTTTTTTTGGCTTTACTTTTGAGTCATTTTCTCCACTTGATTTTGGTTCCTCTGTTGTTCACATTTGACTAATTAGCTTTGCTTAAATCGACTAGCCAAAATAAGGCAGGTGGTTATCTCAAAAAAAAAAAAAAAAGCAATCTGATGTTTGGAAGCAGGCTGCAGGAAAAACTGAGAAATGATGAAGGGCAAGATGGGAAGGTCACTAATTGGGCTGATGGGTCTGTGTGTGTGTTTTTTTGTTTTGTTTTTTTAATTAATACTACAATGAAAGTAGGGTGTGCTGAGGCTTCGGGGACATTGGAGCAGTGCTTATTAGCTACTGACCATTGCTTCGCCCCGCCATCCACACTACATCCATTATACAGTGCCTGATGTATTTAGAAAAAAAAATATCTCAATGAGTTTAGCTGAGCTGTGATTGAAAAGACAAAAAAAAGTATTAAGTGTGCATTTAGCCAAAGGGTTTTCCAATGAATTATATATCTGCAATTATGCATCTGTCTCACAGAGGGCTCTCTTTGTGATTTTAGAGTTTGGAAGGGTGTGAGTTTGTGGTGCCTGCCTTCAGCTGGAACAGACAGCCAGTCAGTTAGATGAGTTTTGACCCATTAATTGCTCTATTTTTATTTTAATTTTATTTTTTTCTGAGGAGGAGAACGCAGGCAATTAACACTAAATCAACTACTCAATTACAGTACGTTGCTAGGGGGAAGGGCACTTTGAAGTTCTGTACATAAATGCTTTTGTCATGAGGCTTCTATATTCAGTTGCTTCATCAGCCACATTGCCAAAAGAGTGTTTATTTCTTTATTTTGTTCATTTTTACATCTCAACATTTGGCCATTTTTGTTGAAATGTGTTTTTATTTTTAACCCCAGTCATCACTTGGGACATCAGGTGTTTTAGAAATTAGGAAAAACATGATTTAGTTTGGTTATTTTAGTGATGAAACGTTTATTTTTATCACATGAACCCTCCAAAAAAAAAAGCGCATCCACAATGTGTCACACCTCCCTGTGATCGTAGTCTAGCTCCTGAGCCCACGATCTTTTTTTTTTTTTTGTTCGACTCTCTCAAGAAAAAAATAGGATGTGAAAGCCATGCCTGCCTGTTCAAATTGCTTTATACATACGTCTTATATATATATAAATATATATATAAATATATAAAAATGTAGATATCTGTCATTGCATATACAAATACAGAAGAGAACAAAAAATAGATAATTTTACAGGGTGCTGGAGAAGAGAAAAAAATTGAAAAATCTATTTTTGGCAATTTTAGCTTTTGATACTTTACTTGCAGTTACAAAATCAGAAAAAAAAACGAACTAAAAAAAGTTTAAAACAGTATAAAGGGGGAAACAGATCAACCGAGTGGGTGAGGTGGAAAAAAAGTGCTGTTACCTTGGATATGATTGGAAAAAGGAAGACGAAGACCAAAACAGTCGTAACTTTCGAAAAAGTCAACGAGGATCAGAGCGAGACAGACGCCTCGAGAGAGTTTTAAAAAAAGAAAAAAAAAAGGATCAAATCAAAGTGCCTTATCAACAGTGGTTTCTGTTTTCTGAGTATTCCAGTTGTGTTCAATAATATCCAGCACCCACCAAGATGGCGCAGAGAGGGAATGGCTAGTGTTACACGCTCTGAATCGTTGAGCAGGGTAGCTCCCACCGTATCGTGGTGTTACCGCAGTTATTCTATGCAAAAAGAATAGCAGTCGTTTTGACCAGCTAAAAATATGTGCCATGGTTTTGTCTTCCTGAAATTATTTTTTTCTTTTCCTTTACTTGATGGCCCTTTACTCTGCTGTATGTGCAGGTTTTGTTCTCTTTTTATTTAGATTTTAATGATCATTATGAAATATTGTCTTGATTTATGGTGACTGTGACTAACTTCCTAGAACAAAATTGAACTGCCAATAGCAATGCAGTAGTCTGCCAGAACATGTTTTGATCATGAGCTGAGAAAAATACATAACGTTCAAGGGGCGGGGGGAGGGGAGGGGAAGAGGGGAGTCGTCCCCCGCTGGCAGGAAGCCCGTTTGTTTCAACAGCTGCAAACTGAAGGCATCCAGTCCATGTCTCTCGATGTCAATCTGACGGCAAACTATCAATACAATCATGAGATTTATAATGGACAAGCTGGATAATGAAACAAGCACGTCTATTTCACAGCCAAATAGTTTCCAGTTATTGAAACAACTCTGTCGCTGGAAGGTGAAATAAACTCATAAAATCGAGGAATTCTCAGATCCCGATATTACCCTTGGCAGTTTTGTTTTTCTATTCATAGCTCTTTCATCATGCTGTTACACCGAAAGGTCAATGAATTCTTTCTTTCTCAGTGTTATTATTTTAAATTGAAATGCAATATTAAAGTGGAGCAAGTGATGGCTATTCAGCATTTGACAGTATTAAGAAAATTCCCTCTGCAATGTTACAACTTGCTGTGTCATTGTGAAAGGCTGGATAAGTCCATCAGGTGAAAGGTTAACTCTATACCTACCGTATTCTCTCTGGCCTGCCTACTACATGTATGATAATGTAATTAACAGCCATTGTTACAGGTTTATAATGTATTTTTCTAATCTCATTTTATATGTATATTAATCATGTTTCTGAGTGCTTTTTTTTTTTTTAATTTTATGAAACCCACTGCAACTTTTTTTTCCTTCCCCCCCTAAACGGCCCCTCTCTTCCTTCCCTCCTCCCCCCCTTTTCTCTCTTTTACATCTTGAAAACTGTCTCTTGTGGGGAGTGTTGCCTTTTCCCTGTTATATTTGGTTTTGTTTTTTTCTTGCCGATTCCCAGCTTGTTTAACTCATTAGCTACTTTATTAGTTTTCTTGTCATAAGTATTTTTACATGCTTGCATTTAGTTTTCATGGTGTATGCTGTTATTTTTCTTATTAACCTCTTGGCATTTATTTTAATAAAACATTCTTAGTAAGAATTTTACTAACTTGCTGATATTTTGTCTTGTGTTTTTAACCAGTTTCATGAATGTATTACCTTGGTCTGGTTCACGGACTAACACGATTAAAACTGGTGTCTGGCCACCACTCACACTGACACACACACACACACACACTAGTGAACTGTGCACATATGTTCCGCATACTGTACAGTCACTCAACACACACACACACACACACACACACACACACACACACACAACCTAACTGGAAAGTGCACGAGTTGATAAGCGTCCCTCACTCCCGCTCACGCATTCTCACCTCTGTGCTGGAGAAAATCTGCTGACACTCTTCATACTTGCCCTCCCCGCTCAGTTCCAAACACCGCTGCTGTGTTACAAACTCTCTTGTTAGTTGTCCTGTCCTTCTGTGTCACTGACCCCGTGAGACGGCAGGAAGTGTCGCAGTGTGTTGGGAGGGTGGGTGGGGTTTTTTAAGCTGCACGTTACTTGAGGTCACTGGTTAACTCCTGGGTCAGATTTAAACAAGTGTGTCTGGACACGAGTCAAAAACACCACTTTACACCAAATCTGTGCAAAAATACTGCCTATTAATCATCTCAAAAGGATTTTACTGTGAATTACATAGCGAGCAGGACATCTCATACGCACCCATTATAGATGTAGTGAGTTATACATGTCGATGACAGTTGTGTGATCGTCCAAAGCTGTCCCTAGCCTTTTTTTTTTTTCTCCATTGGCTCCACGGCTTGTTACGCCTGGATAGCAGCATTACGGTTATCACCAGCTGTTGTCTGTTTGGTGAACACTTCTCCCCCATTCAGCTTATTGATATAATGGCTAATACTGGGCCATTTGGGAGCATCCATAATGCTTAGACACACACCAGTAAACCATGCCAATATGAAGTACTTTGGGATCAAAACAAACCTTACTATTCCTTCCAGTGTAAAACGCTGATATGACTTTCAGCTAGCTCGTATTTATTGTTCTGTTTTATTTTTGTCTGAAACACTGCCAGTGTGTGTTGTTCACTCTACTTGCTGTGTCAGTGCACTCGTCCCTGGGTTCATTCAGCTCTCTCCTTTCCTATTCAGCTTTTATTTCCCCCTCTTCTTCCACTAATTCAAGGTATTGACACTGACACACAAGCAAAAGATTAACTTCATTAATCCCGATTATTACTTTAACCCACTGAGTGATGCCTCCGGATTTTTTTTTCCCTTCAAATCTGCACAACAAAAAACAACTTGGCCTTAACTGTTGCAATCCTCTTCATGTCTGAGCGAGCAAAGAACAAGGATTAAAAGTGTCTAACATCAAACTTAACATTTCTCCTCTCTGAAATTAACATTTTTTTGTGTCTTTGATCTAAAAGCGGGTGTTTGTCTACCTATAACACCTGCTTAAAAACCAGCAAGTAGAGACAAAGATTGGATTAGCTGCAGTCAGCCTAAATAGTTCCCCCTCCTCTTTACATTTAAGCTTTTTGTTATTAACATAGGATCGGCCTTTGGTGTTTTTGATTGGCGACTGCGCTGAAATCCGTCCATGCAGCTGTTATATTTACCTGTCGGAGAGGTTTTTTAAGTGACCGCCTCAGCCAGCAAACTGATAGAAAAAAAAAATGCATTAAGTGGAAAGTTTCCACAGCACAATGTTTTTTACAAACACTGCCTGAAATATTGCATCTGTGATTTTGAAAAGTGCCTTTTTTCCCCCACGATTGGGAAATGATATATTTTTGTACTTTATCATTCAAGTGCCAATTTTCTGTCTTCCTCTATCTCGCCAAAAGCTTTTTTTGTTGAGCACAAAAAAAACTAAATGCCCATGTTTCCTTTTTTTTCAGCACAATGCACACTCTTTTAAAAAGTCTACTGGGAAAGTTTGATCCAAAATTGGGAATTTGGCATCAGGCGTTTCCCGCCATTAAACTCTGAGTTAATGGATCCAGTTTAAATTGTACCCACTGAGAACTTTTCTCTCCTGATCGGACCACAGTATGTTTGCATACTGCTGTGAGTTCTCAGCGCCTTTCCAAATCTGTCGCAGGGCATTCAGTGCATTTATCTACTAACTACCTTTTCACCTGTCAATCTTTTTTATTTTCTGTTCTGTTTAACAAACATTCCTCCAATGAGTTAAACGGCAGGTTAACCAATCAGTATTGGTCTCAGCAATGTAGCACTCAGGTGGTTAAAGGGCAAATGCTACCAAAACACAGAAGAGAATTTTTTTAAGCCCCACTGGATTTTTGTCTTTATTTTTTATTTTTTTTTGACTGTGATGCATTAAAAGTATAATACATCTTTTCCTAAAATTATACTAGTATGGTATATACTGTAAGTTCCTCATCCATTTAGAGGTGCACTAAAAAAATCTGTGAGATTTTCTTCTCTTTTTTTTTGTGGAGTTGTAAGTTTTTATGTGAAGTAGCTTTTATTTTGTTTTGTGTTACCTTGTTTTTATAGAGGGTTAGACTGAGAATTTTGAATAGGGTGTAAAACATGTAATGCCAGTTTTTGTTGCTCACACCAAAAAAAAAAAAGAGAAAGAGAAAAAGGAAAAACAAATGTCATGTGTGCAATAAAGAACCATATTTACAAGCTTCCCTCTGACTGCTCTACCTGGACTGGTCCTTTCGCTTCTGCGCTCATGCTTCTTTATCGGTGACATCATTTCTTGTGGATTTGCTGTGACTTTTGGGGGCGTTTGTAAAGGTAGGTACGCCGCATTTTTGCAGGAAATAAAATGTGGAAGTTCAACACAGCTGTCGCCTAAGCCCTCAAAGTGAGATCAAGCCCTCGCTTGGATTTTATGTGATGGTGGTAAAAATGTTAACCTTCTGCGAGGGTCACGGCAAAAGCTTTTTTTTGTCTGGAGATGGTATTTAGCAGTCAAATCCATTTCTGGCTGGAGTTGTTCTGGTGTCTAAACTGACTTTTAACGTCGGGCTGCAGCACACATCCTCTCTGTTACACTCCACTCCAGTCAAGTCAATCTTTTTACACCTCCAGCGATCATGCACCACAGATAACATGAAGTCGTGTGGCATCCGGTTAAAAGTTCATGCATTGTACTGCAAACTGAACACTGACACTATTTACAGATGGATCTATTTTAATAAAGGCTGATGAGAACAGTTATGTGTCAGCGTGTCACTGCTGCACACACTGACTTCACCACAGAGGTCAAACACTCACGAAAAGCTGCACTTTGACATGTTCACAGAATCTATGAACGGCAATATCACAGTTATTTAACATCAGACAAGACTTTTCTTACAGTAAAGAACACCTTATTAAACATATTTAAAATTCACTGTTTCATGCCTCCACCAGCATAATAAACCTGATTGATCTCAGACTCTGATGTTCTCCACTTGACCCTGATATTTCCACTTCAACAGCTCACAAAAATACAGTTCACAGTGATGCTTCCTGACTGGAGAATTGCTCCGAAATTAAAATTATTTCTAACCTGTCAGTGACACGTGAAAAACAGTTGGATATGTGTGTGCGCTGCATCTGTATCTGATAGCAGTTTGTTCATAAGAGGTTTAACATGGAGTCTGACCTCTATAGGGTCTAATTAACCATACACATGAGTACATCACATGTATGATAATATATGGTTCAGTTTAAGGCTAGATGTCACAAATCCCTGATGCACATTCTTGACTATGAGTGGGAGTAATTGTGCGTAGGGGGGGTTTCCGACTGGGAGCCAAAGGGTTAGATGGATAGGAAAGTAAGGAGCACAGGGAGAGACGTCTGTGTGGACTGAACTCCACCCTGCTTGACCAGGCCGTACACTCTACCTCCCCCTACTCCCACATTTTCATAAGGGAAGAGAAGAGAAGAAACTAACAGGAGAAAAACTTACATAACTTTAATCAAGGTGGAGTTTAACTGGTCGATTGTTGTTGCACCTACTTGGGACTGTGGGTTAGAGTTGGAGCCATGTTGGGGGTTTCGGGAGGGTAGAGGCTTCGTTGAGGTCATCAGGTGGGTATATTACTGTAACCTGCTGTTCATTTCTTTGTCTGTGTATGGCTTGTGGCAAACAAAAGAAAACATGCCCGTCCACGCCGAGCCAGTGTAACATACAAAACATGAAACATTTCCTCAATTGGTGAAATTATAATGCTTTATAAAGCTCCATGCTTTCATTTCTGCGTTTTCCTACCTTCATCAAATATGCATGCTCGATTCATGGCAGACAAAAAGGGTCACCACTACAATACTTTTTGTCATGATGGTTTTGTTGAGGTCAGAAGGTTTTATTTTAAGTATTTAAAGGACACTGATAATGCAGGTATCATTTCCATACATACATAGAGCATGGTGGTCTATGACACCCCAAACAACGAGTGTGTTTACATGGGCATGAATAACCTGTTAATGAGCCTTATCCTGGTTATAATTATCTGTGTGTTCCAGTCCCCATAATACCATACTACATAGTATGCCAGAAAAAGATTTTGTATGTCCCATTACATAGTATGTCAAATGCAGTATGCCAAAAACACCAGGTTGTGCTACTACATCTGGTCCAATTTTGCAGCACGAAAGCCAACATCTCCGTCTCTGGTGTACTCGGTAAGTGGAGTTTGGTTTTATCTCCATAGTGACGGATATGAAAGCAAGAAGGTCAAGTGATTGTTTGTGTACCATATGCAACAGTACGTACATTTTAAGGGCAGCTGCAGTACCTACTAGAAGTAAAATGAAGAAGTATGCGACTTGGAACGCACCCTTTATTCCTAACATGGTGTTAAGATGCTCATTCATGCATTTTCCGTAACCTCTTCTCCTGTTAGGGGTAACGGTGGGGGGCTGGAGCCTATCCCAGCTGACACTGGGTCAGAGGCGGGGAACACCCTGGACAGGTCACCAGACTATCACAGGGCTGACACATAGAGACAGACAACCATTCACACTCACATTCACACCTACGGACAATTTAGAGTCACCAATTAACCTGCATGTCTTTGGACTGTGGGAGGAAGCTGGAGCAC